ACATTGGACACAAATAAAATACTTTTAGTTTCTCCAGACTAAGGTATTATCATCATTCATTCACTCATTTATTCACAAATATGCATTAATGGCCTACAATGCATCAGGCACAGTGCCGGAAATACAGCAGTACACAAAGTAGGAAGTGTTTTGCCTTTTCAGAGTTTGCAAACTTGCAAGATTGAGATACAGATCAGGAAACTGCACTCATAGTGAAGGGCAATGGGGTAATGAAAGCAGAGCCCTTAGGTGTTGGGGAACCTAGTCTAGTGGAAGTCAGGGAGCCCTCCCTGAAGAAGTGATATATTCCTGGAGACAGGAAGGATGACGGGATAAGAACTGGAAAGGGAAAAGTGGTTCCAGAGCTGAAGCAAGACAAGCATATGGCTTCTGAGGCAAAGGCTGAAGTGCAGTTTGATTGGAGGGTGATAAGATATCATGGCATCTGGTCCCATCTCTTCATGGCAAATAGATGGGGAAACAATGGAAACAGTGAAAGATTTTATTTTGGGGGCTCCAAAATCACTGCAGATGGTGACTGTAGCCATGAAATTAAAAGACATTTGCTCCTTGGAAGAAAAGTTATGACCAACCTAGACAGCATTTTAAAAGTGGAGACATTACTTTGCCAACAAAGGTCCATCTAACCAAAGCTATGGTTTTTCCAGTAGTCATGTGTGGATGTGAGAGTTGGACTATAAAGAAAGCTGAGCACTGAAGAATTGATCTTTTGAACTGTGGTGTTGGAGAAGACTCTTGAGAGTCCCTTGGACTGCAAGGAGATCCAGCCAGTCCACCCTAAAGGAAATCAGTCCTGAATATTCATTGGAAGGACTGAGGCTGAGGCTGAAACTCCAATACTTTGGCCTCCTGATGTGAAGAATCGACTCATTGGAAAGACCCTGATGCTGGGAAAGATTGAAGGCAGGAGGAGAAGGGGATGACAAAGGATGAGATGGTTGGACGGCATCACCGACTCAATGGACATGAGTTTGAGCAAACCCTGGGAGATGGTGAAAGGCAGGGAAGCCTGGCCTGCTGCAGTCCATGGGGTCACAAAGAGTCAGACATGACTGAGCAACTGAACTGAAGAAAGGGAAAGAGTGCTCAGAGAAGTAGGAGCAGTATCCAAGGACCAAGTTATGGCCGGCCTTTTAAAATCTTGCTAAAATGTTTATTACTTTATCCTAGAAACAATAGGAGGACATGTAAGGTAACATTATTGGATATGTATTTTTTAAAAGCTCCATCTGACTGTGGTGTAAAGCATTGACAGGAGGAAGGGAAAGAGGAAGCTGACACAACTATCAAAGAGAGAAAATATAATGAACTATATATTGATCATTATAATATCAGCATATCTGAAACTTTTGAAGTTTACAGTACTATAAACAAGGAAATTATATGGTGAAGGACATAATGAGACATCTGTATAGTTGTATTGTCCTATCCCCCTGTGTGGAAATCCTCTTTACTGTATCAAGAAAACACAACAGCTAGTTTACAAGAGCCCACACAGACCAAAGGTCTGTATCATTTACAGACAGTAAGCATTTAAGTATCATAATAACAATCACTATTATGGATTAAAGCACATAGAGTTAATGGTAAATTATAGGTTGATAATGACACTTAAATACAAACAAATATTGAAAAAACAATATTCATCACTTTTTGAACTATTAAAAAGAAGGGCCATATCTTCTTACCTTTCCAGGAAAGACCTGACTTAATTATTAATGGCCCCTACTTTTACTTTCAAATTGTCCCTGTTTGGATGATAAATTACATACTATCTCACTAATAAACTAACTCTTTATTTTGTATTAGTGAATTGACAAATGAAGGGGAAGAATTTTAAGCATTTATCCTGCCTTTTCAGGGTAACTCAAAGAAACACCAGGCTTATTTTTCAAAAGAAATTTTACTACAGATGAAGATAGGACAGAATTAGAAAACCATCTTTCTACAAACTGTAAGCAATGTATTGACTCCCATAAAGATTATTAACTTTAAAACTGTTAATTTAAAATTATTATTATGGTTGATCAAGAATAGGATATTTCTGTAATTTCTAACATAAAACCACAATAATCACTTGTATTTGTCACTAAAGGAAAAATACATACAACTGAAGAATGGAGGAATCAGATAAGCATCACCCTGATCCAGTGGACAACTTTAGCATAAAGTCTAAATCAACCAGATATTAGGTCTCCAAATACACTTCACATCACCTACAGTATGTTTTAGAAACTATTTAACTTCATTTCTTCAAAGCCTTTTGATTTAAATTTCAATATGCTGGAAATACAAGGTATAGAAAAACAAGCTAAATAACCACCAAACAATCCAGAAGATGGAACAAGCTAGGAAAAACTGTTCAGCTTTTTTTTTCTTTTAAGTAAATTAGGGAATGGTGAAAGAAAATGTAGCTTGATTAAAAGAGACTTGAGTGGCATAACAACCAGAGGAAGTGCAAATATTGATTTGAAGAAATCAGTAGTACAGTGCATTTTGAGAAATTTGAGTAAATTTAAACATGGATTGCATGTTAGATAAGATGAAAAGTTATTGCTGTGAAAAGACAATGATAATTAATGGAGGAAATTTTTGTTAAAAAGCCACACATATGGAATGCACTCTTAAAAAAGAAATATATTGTCTTTGTACATATATGCATAAACAGAATATCTGGAGGAATGTGCAGATGTTCAATAGGATTTTAGGAGTAGTAATATAGGTAGAGAGCATATGGTCCCACTATATTTTAGCAAGATAAAGTTTTGGGTGTTTGTGCTTTCCAAATTTCCATTATACAATGCACACAGATAACTTTGTTAATAACAAAATGTTAATTTCAGTTTAAAATGTGATATTAAAGATTTTATAAATTTTATAAATTTATAAATTTTTATTAAATTTTTTTTGTTTATAAATTTTCAATTTTTCCATTTTATAAATTTTATTTTTTCTTATCACAATTAACAGGACATGATTAAATTATAGTGCTCAGATTGAGTGGGCTATTTTAATATTTCAATCTAATAACCAGATATGTATATATTTTGGGCTTATGTTATGTTTTATTTCCAAGCATGTTCATCTATTATTGTGTCAATTATTGCTTCTTCACAATTTGACATTTGCTTTGCTGTTCACTAGCTGTTTTATTTGGGGATGCTTCATTAAATTACTGTGGATTAGAAATAGAGATTCCCAAGGGAATTTTCAAAAACTTACTAATATTTTTCCTAGGATATGCAAAATGTTTTTATTGAGAAAAAAATTCAACACAGTCATAGATTTTAATTATTCCCATAATCTTCTGAAATATTTCCTCATAGAAATGAAAACTTTAAGGAGGGAAAAGTTTGTATCTCCAAAATTTAATTAATCATTTAATTAATTTTTCCCAGAAATATTTCAAGATACTTATTAGAATATACAAAACATGACAGACAATAAATCATAAAATAAATGTGGGAATAAAAAATTTAAATGCCAAGGTTGAGTAAAAAGAACAAAAAATAAATTTTAAAATGCTTAGAATAAAACCCATATAATTAATAAACATAATAATTAATTTTGCTAAATGTCAATTAAACAGTTAATAACATCCATGAAGTAAAAGTGAATCAATCAATCACTCTTAATTCTAAGATTAGACTAGTAATTCTCCTGAGATACTGGTAAAGAGATGCTTGTGAAGTATGAACACCACTTTTTTTTTCATTTATTTATATTAGTTGGAGGCTAATTACTTTACAGTATTGTAGTGTTTTTTGCCATACATTGACATGAATCAGCCATGGATTTACATGTGTTCCCCATCCTGAACGCCCCTCCCACCTCCCTCCCCATCCCATCCCTCTGGGTCTTCCCAGTGCACCAGCCCTCAGCACTTGTCTCATGTATCAAACCTGGACCAGCAATCTGTTTCACAATTCATAACGTACATGTTTCAATGCTATTCTCTCAGATCATCATTTTCAATGATATGTAAACAAGATGCTATTATCTTATTTTTACATTATTTAGCTTTTTAAATTGGAAACACTTCTTTTGAAGGCTTCAGAAATTCATAACTGTATTTCCACTTTCCAGAGAACTAATTTTTAGTTTGGTTTTATAATCTATTAAGGTACTGCATGACTATTAATGCTATTCATGTGACTTTCAAGGAAACAGAAAAACTAAGGTTAAATTTTATAGCTTTAAAAAAACTCTACAGTTTAAAACTTGAAGAATTGTTATATTATGTGTATGAATAAAATGCATTAGCAATATTTCATTGATTTCTTTAAATGTGTATATAACTCTTTTTTTCAAAAAGCACATATTTTGTCAGGAAAATTGACTTTTTTCAGTAGAGAATTGTGAGCCTTTATTGCTTTCAAGCAAAAAAATATTTATTACATTTTATCATATGTTGGCTATTTTGCTGGCTACTGAGGATCCAGTGGTGAGAGGACACCTGAATCAGTGAATTCTAATATGGCACATTCTTGAAAAGCATTTAGATGCCCAATCAATACTAAGTGAACTCCCTGGTTTACCTATTAACTGCTGTGGTTTAATGTTTGACAATGTACAAGCAAACTTGGAGTAGTGATAAAATAATACACAGATCTCTTATGTTGCTCATGAGGAAGAAAGTCAGCACTGACTCTGATATTAATTTGGTATTAATTTAGCATTTGCTTTTGACATTTAGAGCATTGAGAGGGCACCTTTTATCTTTAACTCCCACCAGTGGCTGGTACACGGAGCTGTTCTTTTCTTTTTCTATTTTAACAGAATCAGACCAATGGTAAGCTTTGATATATCGGTTTGAATTTGGAAAAATCATCTTCTTCAGAGTTATCAAATAACTCACTCAGTGGAGAACACAAAAAGTGAGCCAAAAGCCAGGGAAAGAGCTAAGAGCTTGTCAGTCCCTTCAAAGATTAGAATCTCTGGCCTCCTTTGAAAGTTTCTGTCCATTCTTAAAAAGAGTCATTTCATTTTAATACCACCATGTCACTATCTCTAGTAGCAATGTAGAAATCACAACAAATGTTTTTGTATCACAGCAACCTTATCATCAAATACAGGGGAAGTGTGTGTGTGTGTGTGTGTGTGTGTGAGAGAGAGAGAGATGGTAAAAGAACATGGAAGAAAGTAATAATTGAGAAGGAGAAACAATAAGAGATTCTAATTTTTTGAGTAAGCTGAGCAATTAATTTAGTTGGCCTTGAGGCCTAGATGTCTGTTCCTGGATAGATCTGCTATTTGTTTAATTTGAACTCACTTGATTAGTTAAACAATATATATATACACAAGACTGATACATGTCACTTCACACCCTAGTGTCGACAGCATACATTTTGGCAGTCTGTGTTCGAGGGGTCGCATGTGACCAGGGCATGGAAACAGCTGTGGTTGAATAGGCTTTCCTCATGGAATAAGGATAGTTCCTCTCAGGTCCAACATCTGTTTGGAAGAGATAAAAGTATATAAAAATAATTATGGCTCAGTAAATTTTCAAGAAAATGTAATTATACATTCTTTCAAAGAGGCAAGAATATAAATATTCTAAGAAGGAATCATCTAAGAACCCTAGAAGAAAATCTAAGGGTTTCAACCTGAAAGTTGTTTTCAGATTTAAAATTCAGCCAAGTAATTTCCCTTTTTTTTTAATGAGAAGAGAAATTTCCTAGTTTTTTTCAGTGACATTCTAGTAACCTAATAGTAACACATTACATTCTTTAAAAACAAGGATACATTTGATTTGACTCTGCATCTACTTCTCTGTTTAACTCTAGAAAAAAATTTAATCACTTGTGTGATATGAGATATATAAGATAATGACACATTGAAATAATCATTATCTATTTGGGTATTGGACACAGTTGTAGCTGCTTTGCTTTTTTTTCCCTTTTTCAGCAAATATATCACTAACTGGATAGTAAGGTTCTAGTATTAAAAATCAGTTGTCCTTGAACAACAGAAATTCCTAATGGTAATAGATAAGTATCAAGCTATCAATATTACTTTGGGCTGGTGAGATGTGTTTCCATTAGGTTGGGAGAAATAACACTGGAGGCAAGGAAGTGTGCTATTTTATTTTGTCCTTACCTTTGAAGAGATATAAACAGCATGTGAGGATAGCACCAGCCAAAAAACAACCCAAAGAACCAGCCATTCCAAGCCAACAGGACCAACCAAATTTATATTGGTTGCCAAGAAATATATTGTGCAAAACCAGAGAAGAACGTTCTACATAAACATCAACAGCATACCAAACAGAGCCAATTATTCCTGGGGCACCTGAAAGAAATGGAAATTGCTAAAAATAATTCAGGTCTTTTCCAAATCTAAATCCAAGAAGATTAAGTTATTCTATTGTATTGTATTTAAGAGTATTCTATCATGTTGTATTTAAGAGTAGTCTATGACTCTCCTGACCCACCACCCAGACCCATGATTGAAGTTACGTCTACTACATAATCAGCACCTGTAATTTTAGTGATTTGGGGTTAAAAACAAATAACTGAAGTAGAAATTGAAAATTTATCTACCACATCCACCATGTAAGAATAGACTAAGAATTTTGTTTATTTCAAATAAAATTTAATCCTCAGAGATTTGTCTTTCTGAAAATTGACTGGTTTTAAATGATGCAACTAAAGTCCTTTCACATGTATAAATTACAGGTATACATTGCATGTCAGGGCTCGGATTGAAGAAAAAAATCACGGGCAGTTGTAGAACAAAAGACTATATGAAAATAGTGTTTCTGGAATCCGTAAGCCCCCAAGAAACTCTCACATTTTTCCTAGTAAGTCTGTGGTTTCAAATCACAATTTCATTGCATTCTTTTCACAATTACTTAATGCAACAAGTTTAAGAAGGACCTGATCGTGAACACATAGTAACCTTTAGAATATAGGGCATAAAATATATATATTTTATATATATATATATATATATCATACTAATTTCAAATGATTATTCCAAGTCTTCAGTCATCTTGGGTGATTTATTCAGTCATCTCTTTAGCCAATCTGGCAGGAATTTTCTTCATTGACTTATTTTTCTTTAAATTTAGTTCTGATATTTTATAAAAAAAAATAGTGTAGATTATCTAGTGATGTCTTAAAAAGAATTCTAGAACAAAATTGCATAGCATTAAATGATGTCTAAATTTGCTAAATAAAGCACATTGTTACATACAAAAGGTTTATGTTTTCACTAAGCTGGATATGGGAATGGATATTTTGAAAAGAAAAAAAAAACTAATAAATTATTGTGACTTTTTAGTGCAATTTAGGATCCTTAGGGCCTTGTGTGAAAATATCAGGGAGGTCCCATTTTTGACCATGTGATGGGTAAGACTTTCTGCTATGAGTTTACTCTGCCCACATTGCGATTACAGCAACAATTAAGAATGGATACTATTGCTGGGACTCTACCCTAATTTGCAGACCAAGAAAAGGAGACAGATTAATTTAACTGACCTAAAGTCCCACATTACACATATATACATATCTCCAAGTATTTTTAGTTTTAAAATTCTCATCAATTTATCCTTTACGTTTCAGTCAGTTTCCCACTTAAATTTGCTTTGGTGACTGTTTGCTGCTACTAGAAAAGAAGATGGTTTTCACTTTGGAGGGTAAACTTATCAGTTTTCAATCTTCCTACATTTTGGTTTTTTCATAGTGCACTTCCTCCCAATTTGCATTATGATCCAAGAAAGACACTGTGTTTTATTTAGGATGACTAAATTGAAATTAATGACTGACTTCAGGAAAATATCAGTTTTGCTGTTTCACTAATAAACCCCATATAAAGTGCATCTTGATTTATTGTTTTTTAGTCTTGCTTGATTTATGTCTTCAGAAATCCACTTATTCTCTGCTTCAGTGAAGATAAGATCATACTTGTTTATTGTTACAGATATGATCATATGAATTGGCACATGAGAAAATCTAATATAGAACTTGATGCAACTTAGGTCATTGTAAAGAACTGGTAAGGATGTGTACAGGCAAGGTGATGGCAGCTTGGGGATTATTTTAGGATTTAACTTCAAGAATAATCATCAAAATGTTTTTAAAAATTTAAAGCTTTATATACTTTTTAAGTGGTTAAAAATTGTTTGAGGACATCAAAAACCTTGATTGGTGATATTAGCCAAAGATTAATATCTGATTACAAAACTAAGGAAAGCAGGGTTGGTGGATGTGCTCCTTATTCCTTCATTCTAGAAAATCAAGTCACATACGATCCTAAAATGAACTCCTTCAGAACAACACCCTTCTTCATCCCAAGACCTTAGTTGATTATCTTTATCCCCATCACTAGTCCAGACCAGTACCTGCTATTAGTAATGTGGTTCCAGCAACAAAGCAGATGCGGACTTTGATGTATGGCTCATCAGGGAGGAATTTCACGCAGTCAAGTCCAAGGAGCAGGGTAATAAATCCAAACCCAGCTAGAATATCTGCAGTAATCATCAGCGCCCGAGTTACCACCAGCTTCACTAGAAGATCAGAGCACGTGGTTTCAGCACAATCAGAGGCAGGAGACATGTTAATACATAGAGGTGCACCAAAGAGAAAAACACAACCGCGTTCATCAGCACATGCCCAGTGAACACAATCACACTTTAAATGTGCATGAACTTGAAAATAAATACTCTTATTTAATTTTTTCATAAAATTCAAAAGTATTATAAGACTACTGACATTAATTGTTTACACAAACATTATTTGTTTAAGCACTGCTTATTGTGATCTTGTTGGCCTCTTAGCAAAGTGCCTGGCATATGGCGGAGACTAAATAACTATTTCTCTTTTTCCTCCTGTTTTGGAATGAGTCTTGTTCACAAGTATTAGCTGAAAGCCGTATTGAAAGTAGAGTATTTCTTCTTCCAAAGATACCCAATAAATATTCATTAAATAATAAATCACTATATTTGTTTGAATTTCTATTGAAAAAGTATAAATAATTGGTTAGAATTTAATATACAGGAGAAGAATAAAATACTTCAAGATGTCTCATGCCAATTCAGGTGGGAGCCATCAGAAGATTTTTAGAAGAGAAGGAACTTCTGTTATTAAATAGACTATTTCTGGAAGCCAGAATCATATTTTCTTTTAATTCCTTTATGCTGTAACCCTTCCTGGCCAACACTCTGCATTAATCTATCCACCTTGCATTGTCAACTGCACATATTTTAAAGCCATCGCCAATGAGAATATATGGCAGAAAGTCCAGGAAAGAGAAGATCAGGTAAATAGAAGTAGAACAGTAGCAGTCATCTATAATGGGAATATCAACTATGAAAGTTTCCTCTATTGTGACTCCCAGTGATAGTAAATTAAAACTGGGATAATGTTACCACTAATGGAGGATTAATTATCTGAAGTCAGATCTATTGGTACTTTAGCTGGCTAGTGGAGAGGAGTAATAAAATTTATTGCTTTGATGTTAGAGTAATTATGTTTTATTTTCATAGTGATTTGAGGTTTCATTTTATTGAAATAATTTTTTCCCCAATGATGAGATGACTTTAGGACCTACTTAGTTATAGACTGCCTGTAAAAATGTGGCCAATCTTCCTCATTTCAAATATAAAATATTTTCATAATCCATCTAAGAGAGGAAATCAATGCATAAAATCAATCTGTACCTTAATAGGTGAATATTTAAGATATCAAAATGTGATGATATTTTTTAAAATTTAGACTCAAATGTAGGCCAAATCTGAGGTTCATTTTTTTTTCAAAATTGAAGAAAGATTAAAATATGTAACTTGTTGGGTGATAATTTGTATATTTCGACAGCTCTCCTTGATCCTCAAATGGGTATACACATGTAAGCCGCCTGTTCAGCACTCCAAACCAAGTGGTCCCACACTCTGGAGTATTTCCCTTGAAGTTTTGTAAGTCCCCTTTGAAACTTAGGTCAATAGGGCCAGGATTGCCATCTGGATAGTGTGCCCTGAGATCACTGTGGGCCCTGGTCTTCCCCTGTCTGACCTAGACTCCCATACAAAGTGTGATTCAGATGCTCCGTAGAACTTGAGGACTCACTCCTATGGTGTCATCCAAGGACTGTATAGCTAGTCCAGTTTCAAGAAAGCAGCTCTGCAAATAGGTTGCTAATGCTGGCCAGTCAGGAATCTCTTTTTGGAGATTGTGTGGGATTTGGCTACCAGAATATTAAATACTCTGATTTGAAGAAGTGAGATGGACTCAGACTAACAGTATCAACAGAGTCCTAAAAAATGCATCTGAGTCTAAATACCCTAGGTAGACAAGAGCAATGAGAAAGGTGGTCTAATTGTGATTGTATAAAAGATATCAAAGACTAAAAATAAAATCCTACTCTCTTATAGGTAACATCTTAACTTAGAGGATACAGTTCATTAGTTTCTTAGAACACATTTTTATCTCTTTTGTCTTTAAGCATATGGTAGAATTTTTAAAGAATATTAAGAGATTTTTTAGGATATTGTTTAAAAGTAATAGACAAAAATATATCAAGAGGAAAATGTGAAATAGTATAAGCAAAAGATACAGGACGATTTTAAAGTACAAACAGTGGCTTTCTCTGTGTAGTAGGCTTATGAATGATTTTATTTTCTTCTTGCATAAATGTACATAACAATATTTTAAAAGTTGGAAATATTGTAGCTTTCTATTTTCTTCTCAGTTCTAAACATAGCCCTGAATTTCTAGAATAACCTAGTGTTCACATGAACACAAATGTCCATTCCTATTGACCGCATCGTGCTTCTTTCTGTGTCGAACTAGGTTAGTGCTAGGAAAAAGAGAAAACATAAAAGGCCTTTTTTTTTTAACTAAAAAAATAAAATAAAAGCCTTATGAATTATGTCAAACAGTATTCCAGGCACTCAAATCCTAAATGGCAGAGAATGCTGTTTTAAGAACACAACTCCTTTTAAGTGTTTTTCCCTGGACTGAAATAGCTGTCCAGGGGAAAAGTCACATTCTAAGGGTTTACTTGTCATTTATCTTGAAAAAAGAAGTTGCTATGTTGTACCACCACCCATCATTTTATTCAAAAGAGACTAAAACAAATTTGCTTTAATGATTGCAGCAGTACTTAGCACAACTTGATGTATTAAATAAATAAATAAATAGTATGGAGAAGAGTGGAGAGAAATCAGTAATAAGGCTTTTCAATCTGTGAAATCTCTTTATTCATAGAAACAAGGGCTTTGTTGACGCCTAATTATATTTTAAAGCTAAGGGTAGAGAAGATGAAGGAATTGGCTTTTTATATTTTCTAAAAATGTGTCACATATCTGAATATTTTTCATTCCCCGATCCCACAGTCTGGGTCTCTGCCTTTCTTTTTGTCTCCCTATCTGCCCCTCTGCCTCGACCTGCTCTCTTTCTTAGCAAATCAGTTATGGAAATATTGTAAACTTTCTACCTGACCTAAGTCATTGCTAAAAGACTTCTCTGAAATCTTTTCATCTAACCTATCAACTCTAATCATAAAAATCACTGCCCTTAAAGAATTAATTTCATTTTTTTAAGTGTTCACTATGAGCCTACTGTGTATAAGCACTGTAACAGACTGTTTGTGGGAGAGCAGACCTGAATAAAGTAACAATTTTACCCTAAAGAAATTTATAAATAGATGGGGAAAGATTAAATATGCTAAAAATGCTTCAATTCACATTTCAGAAATAATAAACTAAAATTTTAATTGAAGCATATAAAACTGAACAGAACTTTACTATAGTATAGTAGAAGACAAAAACACATCATGGAAACCTGAGTTCAATTTCCTTTGGTCTCCCTGCCCTGACAAGGAGGGATGTGTAAGGCATACGTACAGGAGTGCTCAGCAAGTATAGAATCATACTCATCACAGGTGCGAATTCCATCAAAAGCATTTGTGACACACTCCCACCAGAGACCTCGGCATTTTGTGCTCACCTAGATGTTGGAGAAGACAACATGTGAAACAGCCAGGCAGACAGACTTCAGTTTATCTTGATCAAAGGAAGAACTTGGCTGTTATGAGACTAATAGCAAAGTACAGTGCTTACAAGGGTGATCTGAATTTCATTGACAACAAACACCATATATTCTAGAGTATTTTCTCTTGAACACTAACAATAAGGACTTTTCAACAGAGAGTAAACTTATTTCCTGATTTGGAAGTGGAGGGGGAATAAGTCATGCTGAAAATGGATAAAATCAGAATTAAACATATGCAGATGCCTATGGCTGGTTCCACCATCATGTCAATCTAATCTGGCAGCACTTCATTTCATTTTGCTATGCTGACATTTACTTATTAAAAAAAATCAATATAACAATAGGTGATCACTGTTGACATCTTGAATCTACTAGGAATAAACTTTCTACCTGACCTAAGTCATTGCTAAAAGACTTCTCTGAAATCTTTTCATCTAACCTATCAACTCTAATCATAAAAATCACTGCCCTTAAAGAATTAATTTCATTTTTTTAAGTGTTCACTATGAGCCTACTGTGTATAAGCACTGTAACAGACTGTTTGTGGGAGAGCAGACCTGAATAAAGTAACAATTTTACCCTAAAGAAATTTATAAATAGATGGGGAAAGATTAAATATGCTAAAAATGCTTCAATTCACATTTCAGAAATAATAAACTAAAATTTTAATTGAAGCATTTAAAACTGAACAGAACTTTACTATAATATAGCAGAAGACAAAAACACATCATGGAAACCTGAGTTCAATTTCCTTTGGTCTCCCTGCCCTGACAAGGAGGGATGTGTAAGGCATACGTACAGGAGTGCTCAGCAAGTATAGAATCATACTCATCACAGGTGCGAATTCCATCAAAAGCATTTGTGACACACTCCCACCAGAGACCTCGGCATTTTGTGCTCACCTAGATGTTGGAGAAGACAACATGTGAAACGGCCAGGCAGACAGACTTCAGTTTATCTTGATCAAAGGAAGAACTTGGCTGTTATGAGACTAATAGCAAAGTACAGTGCTTACAAGGGTGATCTGAATTTCATTGACAACAAACACCATATATTCTAGAGTATTTTCTCTTGAACACTAACAATAAGGACTTTTCAACAGAGAGTAAACTTATTTCCTGATTTGGAAGTGGAGGGGGAATAAGTCATGCTGAAAATGGATAAAATCAGAATTAAACATATGCAGATGCCTATGGCTGGTTCCACCATCATGTCAATCTAATCTGGCAGCACTTCATTTCATTTTGCTATGCTGACATTTACTTATTAAAAAAAATCAATATAACAATAGGTGATCACTGTTGACATCTTGAATCTACTAGGAAGGTACATTAATTTTTCTTCATCATGAACATGAATCCCATGAAGAAACATTTATTATACATGAAATTCACAAATTTAAAATAATGGTCAAAGAAAGTTATACAGGAAGACAACAATAAATGAAATATAAAGACCACACAACTTCACCCCTGCTCCACTGACAGACTACAAATGCTTAAGCTATGATGTGGATGTAAACAAACTGAACATTAATTTCATACAACCTGACAGTTGTAAACCACTACTACTTAGAAATGTTGTACAGATGATTCTAAATATCCACTTTAAAGCTAAAAGGTAGCAGTGTCCTGAAACTTCTCATACTTTATAAGCTGTAAGTCAAAACAGATTTCCTAGAATTATAAACATGCCAACAGGAAATGTTTTCAAGTATTCTTGACAGAACTGTTGCATATGGAACAGAGCTAATATGATTGCTTATTCTGATTCAATTACAGATTCACATTATTTTGGCAATCTGGGAATAGTTTAGTAAGATTTAACCAAAAATTATCTTGGAAAATGAAAGCTTAAAATATTCCATAAAGAAAGAATAAATAACAGAGAGCAGAGTGGGAAGAGAAATGAAAGGCAGGGAGGTTATAACTGATGTGGAGAAGAAAGGAATATAGAACATTTTGATTTGCAAAAGAAAATTATATCAGAGAATAACTGTACTATGAAACTCCCTGCCCTATGTTCTGCTTTGAAGTTGTTTTGTGCAGCAAACAAGATTTCACTGCTGGCTGAAAGTGAAAGCGAAGTCCCTCAGTCGTATCCGACTTTTTGCGACCCCATGGACTGAATCCTGCTAGGCTCCTCATCTACAGGATTCTTCAGGCAAGAGTACTGGAGTGGTTTGCCATTTTCTTCTCCAGGGGATCTTCCTGACACAGGGATTGAAACTGGGTCTCCCACAATGCAGGCAGACTCTTTACTGAAATGACTTAGTACACACATCTGATCTGAGACACCACAGAGACTAAAAATACAGAAAATTCATCTTATGAAATCTATCAGTTTCTGAAGGAGGATATGAACATACAAAGTTATATGAAAAATGAAAGAGTTAGTTGCTAAGTTGTCTGACTCTGCGACTCCATGGACTGTAGCCCGCCAGGCTCCTCTGTCCATGGAATTCTCCAGGCAGGAATACTGGAGTGGGTTGCCATTCCCTTCTCAAGGGCATCTTCCCGACCCAGGGATCAAACTTGGTTCTCCTGCATTGCAGGCGGACTCTTTACTGTTTGAGCACCAGTGAAGCCCAAAGTTATATACACATAAAATTTAAACTATAACTGACAAAGCAGACTTTAAATTGACACTCATTACTTGTGTTGTTTCTTTGAGCAAGATCTTACCTTTTTGAGCCTCAAACTCCTTGTCTTTATATGGGAACTAATGCTAGAGTGACTATAAGAACTAAAAATTACAAACATACATAATACAAGTAATTTGCTCAATAAATGATAAAATTGGTAAAGTACTTAAACATCATAATAACCTGAGTTGTGACTAAGTTGAGCATTACTAATGAACCATATGAAAGTTGAGAAAAGTAGAGGTAATTGGTTGAATGGCAACCCCTGCCCCCAAATGTAACCATGCTCTAATCCCCAAAACCTGTGAACGGGACCTTATTTGGAAAAACAAACTTTGCATATGTAGTTAAATTAAGAGTTTTGAGATAAGGAAACCATCTTCAATTACCACGGTGACCCTAAATCTAGTGATAAGTGTCCTTATAAGAGATATACACATGTACACACTGCTATATTCAAAATGAATAACCAACAAGGACCTTTTGTATAGCATATGGAACTCTACTCAATGCTATGTGCCAGCCTGGATAGGAGGAGTGTTTGGGGGAAAAAAGATATATGTATATGTATGGCTGAGTACCTTCCCTCTTCACCTCAGCCTACCAAATATTGTTTATCAGCTATGTTCCAATACAAAATAAAAAGTTTAAAGTCTGAAAAAAAAGAAGAGAAAAGCAGAGGAGAGACAGACAGAGGAGAAGGAGGCCATGTGACCACAGAGACAGACTTCGGAGTGACTCAGCCTCACGTCTCCAAATGCCTAGGTCATCAGAAGCTGGAAGAGGCGAGGAATGCATTTATTCTCTTCTATGATCCTTCAGAGGCTGTGCAGCCCTCCCAACACTTTGACTTCAAACTTCTGGCCTCCAGAACTGCAAAAGAGTAAATTTCTCTTGCATCAAGTCAACAAATTGTGGTAATGTGTTATGGAGGCCTGGGGAAATGGATATAGTAGAGACAATTTGTACTAAACTGTTATAATACAACAGAAAAAAAGCCTTCTCATAGCCTTTTACTCGTTGGAGTCTCAATGAACAGGAACACACTGGGTCTAGTTCATTCCAACTTGAATTAGGTTATGCGGACCTGAAGTCACTATTCTAATAATCAGAGATTGACTAATAATCTCCAATTTCCTGCTAATTCAGCTACTAAAATGAACTAATGAAATCTAATTTAGTCATTCTATGTAAGGTTATTTAGAAAATGAGCTGAGATATATATTTGAGGATACTTATTTTAAGCTAAAAAGTATTTGTTTCTTGCCAAAATAATCCAGTAGTGGTGTCATTTTTCAAGGCTATTGATCATTTACCTGCAATGACCGCATTTAGAAAAGCAATGAGCTCATTAGGGGAAACAAGGAATCCAATTTCATTAGGTATTAATGCTCTAGGGCACAATATTAGATTGTTTGGTATTCACACTCAGTCAAGGTATGTGAGAATAGTGGCTGTAATTAACTAAACTTCTGTGTTAATATAGCACTTACTGGAGACACCCTTAAAGGTGCCTTTGTGCCCAAAAAACAAGGTTAAAAGACTGTAGGTTATTTATCACATTTAGGAAAGCCCTCCTTGCCTAAAATTTAGAGTCTTCACTTATCCTCCTGTTGTATAATGTCTTATTAAGAACTCTCTAAAAGGCAGAAAGATAAGTGAAAGTGTTAGTCACTCAGTCATGTCTGACTCTTTGTGATCTCAGGGACTGTAACCTGCAAGGCTTCTCTGTCCATAGAATGCTCCAGGCAAGAATATTGCAGTGGGTTGCCGTTCCATTCTCCAGGGGCTCTTACTGACCCAGGGATTGACCTTGGGCTTCCTGCATTGCGGGTGGATTCTTTACCCTCTGAGGAAGTCAGGTAACTCTATAATCCTTAAAGTCTTAAGAAAAGGTTTTTGCAAAGCAGACTGATGCTTAAAATATTATGGTTAATATTTCTTAAAGTGCAAAAACGACATTAACTATAATTTTATTTCACAATGTTGTCCAAAATGGACAATTCCAAATTTAAGCTTTGTCCTTTTAACATGTGATCCATATATTAACAGATAACATATAAAATAAAACTGCCGTAATTTTTATTTTTATTTATTTCAATTTTTATTTTTTTTAATTATAAAAGTATGATAACACATTTACAGAAGGCTTGGAAAATACAGAACAAGGTTACATGTGGTTCCACTATATACTACCATTATTTTTTAAGCAGATAAATTAAGATTTTTAGTTGGAGTTTCAATATCAAATTCAAAGCTTAACAGAATGAATCTACAGAGAAGTAAAAGGATACAGTAGACCTGAAAAGCACTGTAAACCAATTCAACATAATTAAGATTTTTACAATTTTCACACAACAGTAGGATACAAATTCTATTCAAGTCCCCATAGACTGCATGCTAGGAGACACTGGAACATATCTGAGGATATAAAACAAGGTGCAAAAATTCCATGGTGTAAAGGCATTGAAATCATAACAGAGCCTGTTCTCTTATTACTGTGGAATTGTGCTAGATATTAATATCAAAGATATTCAAAAATAACCCACATATTTTCAAGTGCAATGTGATATTTACCAAGAGAGTTCTTTGACTTAGCCATTGAAAGCCTCCATAAAGTTAGACTGATAAACAACATAGAGGGTGACTGCAAAAAGAAAACATTTGATTTTCTGTAAATAATGTTATCCCTGGTTTGTTTTTCACGTTTTAATTTTATTTTCAAAGAGTTTTTATTTTTATTATTTATTTATTTGGCTGTGACACATCTTTGATCTTTGCTACAGCATGTGGGGTCTAGTTCCCTGGTCAAGGGTCAAACCCATGACCTCTGTGTTAGGAGTGCAGAGCCTTATCCATTGGACCACTAGGGCAGTCCTGATACTTGATGAATTTTTATATCATTTCAATGAATATCTATTGATCCTGAAGTGAGGAGAAATCTGTTTACCCAAGGTGTGACAGTAAAAGTACAAGTCACAAATATGAAGCCAGCATATATTTCTTAATATTTATTATTTGCCAGCAGTAAAACATAAAGATTTCATAAGAGTTCAGACTTCTGGCCAATCTGGCCACCTGGAATTCCTAGTTCCATGTAGCAACAACGAGCAAGAACTGAGTGGTTCTTCAAATTTCTGCCTATCATTGAAATCTTGCCTCAAAGGTATGTCTTCTTTCATGAGATTCTCCCAGTCTCTCCAGCTGGAGTTAATGTCTTCTTGGATCCTACAGCAACCTGTCCATATTTCTATAGCA